AAATGGATGTGTGTGTGTATATGTATATATGGATACAATTTTTTGGTTACGTTTTCGGGAGCACGGATCAACCGATTTGAATGGTTCAGAAAGCATTCGATTCCTATTGATAGGGAGATGTGCTGATGAGTTTTTAGCAAAGGCTGGTCCAGCAGTTACGGAGATGAAGAGCAAAGAGTACAGAAAATAGAAATCGAGTTTTTGAGAGAACGGAGTAACCGATTTGAATGATCTAAAAACATTCAATTAGTAATGATTGGGAGAAGTGGTTGTTAGTTTTTGGCCCAGGTAGGCCCAGCCATTTTGAAGATACAGATCTAAATGTTAAAAAAATGGCAGTTTTTGAGAGAACTAAGCGTCCGATTTAAATGATTCAAAGAATTTTCTGCTTGTTTTAACAATATAATTGATTTTGAAAAAAAAAATGTTTCAAAATAATTTTTTTATCAATTTTTTTTTTTCAAAAAAAAATTTTTTTGTATATCGAAAATAAAACAGATTTTATTTTTAATTCTGACTAAAGTTCTAATATACTTTAAACAAATAATTTCAACTTTGCAATTAAGTTTATATAATTCTTATAATATTTGAAAACATTTAGTATTCCTCGAACATTTCGTTACAGTACGGGAAGTTCCAGAAATTTGCCTTAAGGAACGATGCCATATACCCCACTAGTTATTATTTTAATCAATGTACATCATATGGCAACGTAATCAATTATATTATTAATAGTCGTCGACAAAATATCTGGTCTTTTACATTAACGAATTTTTATTAAAAAAATAGAATTGTTATACAAATATGGCCGTTGTGAAAAAATGAAGAGTTGAAGAGCCAAAAAATAAACGTTTATCAAAATTGCAAGATAAAATAATAATCATGTGAAGTGTTGATTAGATCTTATTTTATCCGATATTAAAAAATGGAAGCTTATGATAAGATTATAATCATATCTGTTCGAAATGTGGAGTCAACGTCATGTGAATCTAAATTTAAACGAAAGGGCTCGTGATTTTTTATTCAATGAAGTTCAGTAGAGGGATGGAATTTGCAAGTATTGTTGGTGGTAGGAGTAATAGAGAAAAATTTAGTAGTTTGCATATATTTCTGGAGTTTACATATATTTTAGCATATACTACATGTATTACATAATATTTAATAAAGTCTATCTTTATTAATGAAGACTCTTTTTTAAACATGTTACAGCAATTCCAAATTTAAACCGCGATAAAATTGATATTTTTTGAGTCAATGAAAAAAGCAAATTATATGATAAGGGGATATCGTTTGCAAGTATTTTTGGTGGTAGGAGTAATAGAGGAAAAATTTAGTAGTTTGCATATATTTCTGTAGTTTTGTTATCACCAGTAATCATTCCGTAAATTTAATATGCTGAAGAATAGTCTTGGTAATTCCGAACTTGCGTTCAGTTGTTTCCTGATCTCTGCACCGGAGCTATTACCTCGCGAATCGTCGCTTCTGGCCAGCCAGCGGCTTCCATTACAAGACATTACATGTTGTATCATATATCTCTCGATAACGTTTGACAGTTTTATTGTATCAAATGCCAATAAAAGGCGTAGTCAATAATAACGACTTCACTTGCAATCTCGATCGTTTTGTTAGCTCTGTCAACTATCCGCCGGCTGCGTAGTACATATTTGCGTTTCCATAAAAAGCTCGAGGCATTCCTCGTCCGCGACAAGAGCTGTAAGTTTGCATCAAACGTGGGATAGGCATTTCTGACAGGTTTCCTGTATAAGCATATTGTTGTCTTTTGTCACACGGCAAACAAAACGGACCACAATGATCTGGCTAATATCTACAAAAGTAGAATAATGGTCGTCTCTCTATGCCAGAACAGGGCATAGAGAGACGACATATTTTCATACCCGGACGTTCAATCATTGGATTAGCATTCGATTCTAACAATAAGAACTACCAAAAATTGATAATTAATAATAACGTTTATAATACAAATAATTGTAAAATCACATTTTGAAACAAATTTTTAAGGTAATTTGTAGCAAAAATACTGTACATTGCAAGTTCGTAAGACAATTCAGGTTAATCACATATGCATAAAGCTTTGTACATTATTTTATATAGTGAACTATCGGTATGTTTGATTTATTGAGCTAACAAATAAGTCATATATCCTCATAATACCTTTTTCGTCAATTTGTCTTTGCATCAGCATATCTCTATTATCACATATCATACTATACAGTAAAATTCTAAGCTCATAAACATGCCAACGAACTTAACATCTCCATAATGGTCCTCATTTATTAGCTTGTCTATAATACAAACAATTTTAAGATAATATTTTTACATGAATCTTTAAGATGATCTGTATAAAAAATACTGTACATTGAAAATTCGTAACACAATTCAGGTTAATCACATATGCTTAGAGCTTTCTACATCATTTTATATAATGAACTATTGGAATGTTTGATTCATTGAGCTAACAAATAAGTCATATATCCACATAATACCTTTCTTTGTCAATTTGTCTTTGCATCAGCATATCTCTATTATCACATATCATACTATCCAGTAAATTTCTAAGACCATAAACATGCCAACGAACTTAACATCTCCATAATGGTCCTCATTTATTAGCTTGAATAGTTTCAAAGCAAAGACGAAACTATTCACAAAGCAAAAGCGTATATGTATATCTTTATCTGTAACCTATAACATTAATGTCAATTAAAAACCAGTGTATGTGCACTTGCTTATCAGAAATAAATACCGTTGTATAAACAACAATACACACTGCAATAATATTGCGTTGTAAATAATCTCAAATCGATATAGAATTATTAAAATAATGTACATATTTTAAATTTCCTGTCAGAGGTTCGATACCCACCAGCCAGGGACATCCTCATGCCAAGTTGTTCCAACTTCCAAATCTTCATTCTTATTTCTCGAAATTCAATCTTGTGTCCGCATAACATTTCAATTACGCCGCGTTTTATTGATAATAATAAATATTTATTATTATTCCTATATGATCCATAATTGATATCGACGGAACTGGTCACCATATGCATACGATTACATTGTGACGGCCAGCTGGTGGGATGTTATTATGGCAAAGAGTATCAAATGACAGAAATGCGATATAAATGCTTATGAGACAGACAGGGTCGATTTCGTAACACAATTATTTGTTTTATAGGAGAGGTCAAGACTGCCATAATTGGTGTATTATTGCCGATAAATCGCTATGTGGGATTTTGTGGGAAAGGTCAAGTTGATCACTAAAATTTTGGAACTGATAAGTGAAGTAATAATCATTGTACTTGCTGGTAGTTTTACCTGTGTTTCAGCATTATACTTGCTATTTTTCGGATCAACTCAGCATACATATATTATCAAAAAATATTATTATTTGTTTCAGTTTTAAACTGGCTCTCAAATTTTAGATTAGTACTTCCTTGACACCGATAACCTATTATGTGTTATACGCCAGTATCGATAATTTGTTTTAATTGCAGTTAATTGGTTTCAGATTACATTCTGCATTGCAGGTCATTTATTAATTCCCACGACATGTTCTATTATAAACATAGCTATAATATTAAATTAATAAGCAAAATATTACATAACAAAAATGGATAATGAGAATATAATTGTTTTTGGGTTCATGAATTTTATTTAAAAATTTTAAGTTGTTGTTCTAAAGTATAATTTCGTTATCCACAATAAACATGTGAAAGTTGTTGAACCGGAAGGTAGTTCTCATCTCATTCCTCATTCAGTTTATTTTCGATCGTTATACATTTTTTACTGCTAATCATTTCTCGCGAAGCCCTGTAAAACCGTTACTATTTATAGTTCTGTATAAACATTTGAAATGCACGTGGTGTTTAGTATGTGAATACTCTGTTGCTGTATAAACGTGAAACCATAATGTTTAAATTTAGACATTCGGCTTCATCTGCCCAATGGCTATTGGAATTCGAATGAAGCACTTGGAAGTCGGATGAAGCTGGAAGCTGGATGAAGTACTTGGGAAATGAAAATAGAACTATATAGCCGTAATAATAATGATTTATGTGGAATTCGTTCAAATGCCAATTGCTAAATTTGAATAGGTATAAAAGCTTATTTAATTGCAAGTTGTAAAGTTGCATGAAATGTCAACATCAAGTACAAATATTTTATTAATTGCCACACAAGTTTAATAATACAACACTTATATATCTATGAATATTTGAAGATTATGCCAAGAAAAATATTATATTCACAAATGACTTAATTATAATTAATTAGTTCATGACATGTTTATATTTTTATTAAAAATTGGCAATCAATCAACTTTTGAACAAAATTTTCAACAAAAAAAAACTACCTGTTATCAAAAATTTTGGTACATAAACAGCTAACATAAAATAAAAAACACTTTTTAATTATATTTATAAAATATAAATTTGTAAATTTATATTTATGAAAGGACATTTTTTCTAACTATCTAGCAGCTCTTCCACTATGTGTACCACATCAATTAGTTTGAGTTTTCCGCGTGACGTTCTATAAACACTTTTATGACAGTCGGCTGTCTGAGACAAATTCTTCAATGTATCATTATTGATTGATTACTCAAATGGGTCAGTTAAATATAAACATTGTAAAGAATATTATATTTCTGTAAGCTATATTGTTTGCGTCGAGTATGACTGAAGGAAATCTTTTAATCGTTGTAGAATAAAGGATATTTACAATTATTCGTAGTACTTCGTACTAAGCAAGTTTTATGCCCATAAAATATAACACTCACGTTACTTTTTAAAGGTATCGATGCTCTTTATATCCGGTTATACCAAAAGTATCACAATTACTACTAATTGTTGTTTTTAAACCAATTTTTTATTAACTTTCTCTACTTCGTCCACAAAGAAATGACATGTTATTATCATAATTATATGTACTCATCAGAAATTCAACGATTCAAAATGCACGGGCACGTTTTTGTGTTTAACATGCGGGTTTTTATGGAAATATGGACATTGTGCGGTAACTGGAATCACTGTGCATACATGTTCGGAAGGGATAATAAATTTTAATTTGTCCCCGTCAAAATACCCACATGAACTGATTCAGTATTTACCCTTTGGGAAGTGAATCTCTGGGTTAAAGAGTAATTGCACACAATAACAGGGCCCCAGTATGTATTACAAGTAAGAAACAGATGATGAGTTAAATCTATGCTATAGGCTAAACTCTTTACTTTTAATATATATATTTTTTTCAATTCGTAAAAAATATTCCATCCATCGTTCTATCGATAAAAAAGTACGTGTTGTCGTCCTATAATCGGATTACAGTCTGGGTGAAGACACATTTACAAGAAAAAGTTAAAAGCAAAAAGGACTAACGACGCGACTTATTGGATTTGAACGGTACTCAACAGTCTTAAAATACATTTGCCTGTTGTCCACACATATAACAAAGTACAGTGTGAAGATTTCAGACTGTTGGTAAACAAAATAATTAAAATGTACAATCGCAACGAATTTAGAGTACTTTGCTAATAAAATATTGAGATCTAGACTGCAGAGTATATCGGTTGAATACTCATAATTGTATCGAATAATACTTCAGATCTGAAAATCTTCCATCTTAATGAATAATATATCAGAGAAAAAAAATTGTTTCAACATTATTACAATTTATTAACTTTCCGTAGGGTAAGTTATTGTAATCGTTCAGAAATCGAAATAGAAAATTTGTACGTTTTTTCACGTTTTGAACGTTTCTGAACATTTTGGCATACCTCAGAAAATATTGATGTGTGTGTATGTATGGATACAATTTTTCGTCCACGTTTTTGAGCGCACGGTTCAACCGATTCGAATGATTCAAAAAACATTCGATTCCTGTTGATAGGGAGATGTGCTGATTAGTTTTTGGTAAAGGCAGGTCCAGCCATTTCGGAGTTACGGAGCAAAGAACCGAGTTATGGAGTGAGAGAACCGAGTATCCGATTTAAATGATCTAAAAAACATTCAATTTTCAATTATTGGGAGAAGAGGTTATTAGTTTTTGGCACAGGCAGGTCCAGCCGTTTCGGAGATACCGAGCCAGATGTGCAAAAAATGGCAGTTTTTGAGAGAACTAAGCTTGCGATTTGAATTATTCAAAGAACTTTTTGCTTGTTTCAACAGAATGATAGCTTTTGGAAGAAACATTTTTTTGTTTCTAATTTTTTTTTCTGGAAATTTTTTTGTTGTATATCAAATATAATTCAGGTTTTAATTTGAACTCTGTTCTAATATAACTTAAAAAAATAATTTCAACATTTTAATTCAGTTTATATAATTCTTATAAATATTAGACAATGTTACATTATTTATAAAAATTTATATGGAAACATTTAATATACTTCGAGCATTTCGTTACGGTACGGGAAGTTCCAGCAATTTGCCTTAAGGCACGATGCCATACACCACTAGTTACAATTTGTTACTGTTTTATTTTAAATCCTTAGTATCATCAAAATAAATTTGATGAAATTTCTAAAGATCATAACATAGATAATTCTTTGCAAATATAAATGAATCAATCATAATCATTTATTGAAAAGTTATTCAGAATATAAAGTTTAATTTGCTTTTTTTAATAGTGATGCCATTTATGATAATGTTAGCTTTATAAAAATAATTGATTAAATTGAAAAAAAAAAATTCACTTGATATCTTACTAGACTCATCCTCTCTCTTGTGATATTTCTTAAATTTTCTCTTAAGAAGGAGAAAGTCCAAAATTCTTTGAAAATCGATCACGTGATTAAATTGAAAAATAAAATCACGTGATATCTTACTAAACTCATCCTCTTCTTTGTGATATTTCTTAAATTTTCTCTTAAGGAGGAGAAAGTCCAAAATTTTTTGAAAATCGATCACGTGGTTAATGCACCTCTTCTTAAAATATTTTGCTCTATGGAATTTTTGAACTAAATTTACCTAGATTTATATCAGGCATCGTCTTGTACTTTCAATAGGTCTCCAGAACATTTCCCTATATTTCAGCATATGTCCATTATTGAAACAAATCCGAGACATTTACAGAGTTACATAGTGAAAAATCACATCGTTTTCTTTCACAAAGCCTTATCGAACGAAAAGTCAGTCTGATTTAGCGAAGCTACTTTGTGATGAGCTGAGTGATTTACGAGCGGAAATTAGTAGCATTATGTTCAGAGCCAAGATCAGAGGCCGAATGGACGTTTTTGTTCTTTGACTGATTAAAATCACGGATTACATTTGTTTTATGCTAATTTGATCTATACTATTGGATTGATAAATTGATACGTGGGTAATTGAAACATAGGTAATTAACATACATTTTCATTAAGGGGGCACAACTAGTGTAACCGCCTAAAAAAAGGTGATTTTTGGGAATTTATATTAAAAAAACTACTTTATCAATCATTTCAAAATTTTAGGAATATATTTATACATGTTTTGAGAATACATAGTAAAAGTTTTGAAGAAAAAAATTAAATATTTTTTAAGTTATCATCGATCTCCAACGGCGTGACAAAAAAGGCCCTTCACTGCTGCAGTGATTTTTAAAAAAAGTCGTATTTTACACAAAAAATTTTGGTAAAAAACCGCCAAAATTTGATTTTTGATCCGATCAAAAAATCGATAGTTCGTTTTACGGAAAACTATATATAGAACATATAAAAAAAATTGATAGTGATCGTATCATTTGTTTTTGAGTAATCGCTGCAGTGTTTAAAGATTAAATGATCGTTATACTATATTATATATATATACTCTTTAAATGGCTGTGACTCAAAAACTATTTATTATTTTTAACTATTTACCTATCGAAATATGGAAAAATTGAAAATTCGATTTTTTGAAAATTTCACACTAGTTGTGCCCCTTAAAAAGAATTAAATAAAGTCTATCTTTATTATATCATTATGTGATCATTATCAATTAACAAATTCTTGCTCTTGTTCCATAGTTCAATGCACTTCTCCCTCTATGATAAATGTTATCGATCTCTCTGATCAATTTTATCCATTATATTCCTGAATACTTCGTTTTAGAAAATACACCTTAGATTTCTATTTCGGTCATCGTAAAAGTCATAAGTTAAATATTAATTATAGCTCCAGTAACTAATGTTGATTGCGTAACTCTGGGAGTTGGCACTTTGGCACGACTCCACATTGGTGCATAAAAGAGGATATTACGATGTCAGTTGCGAATTCGGATTGCGAATTGGAGCATGATGAAATATTTAGAGACATTTGCCATAAGCCATAATATTAAAACAATTTCTCTTCGTATTACTAATTCATATTCACAATTGGTCCATGACATGTACTCTTATATTTTCAAGTATCGATTACCAACGATTACTAATTTCATTCAGAGCACAAGAATGCTGTATACAATAGCTATTATTTTAATAAAACATTATATATAAACATGTGTTATTTCTCGGAAATGCTTTTAGCATCAGTGGTTGTGATTCATTGCTTCAGTTGCTATTATTACGTGATTAGTACGTAATTAGCATGACTCAAGCTGTGATCTGGTACACGTGTTCCATGTTCGTCTTGCCAAAAAAGATTTTTATTTTATTGCTTTATGTACTATTTTTGTCTATCAGTTGTATTTTATGCCAAAAGACCAAAGTTCGAATCGAAAGTGCGTTTGTCTATTTACCTTAATTCAGACTCATTCTGAACCGTTTTCGTCAAAAAAAAAAATCTTGATTTTATCATCAAAATGCATGAACATGTGTTTTTAATTCTGCCGGTCATTACGATGTTGCAATTTTATTATTTGAACTTATAAAATTATTCCTCCGCAGGACTGAAAATTTTCGTAGATTTTTTCTGAGTTAAATTTGGTGTTCTGCATTTTGTGATTTTTGTGTTTACTTATATAAAGCTGCATACACATTTTCTGTTATGTACACAATATTTAACAGTTTTCCTAATCTAATTATTTCAATTACTTTAATTTCCAAAATACTAACATGTACAATTTAGTTAGTCAAATGTTTATCGAATATCCGATGTTCTGCTCTGTTATGACTACAGACTAATTAAGCATTGTGCCCATTTATTTTTGGATGCGTCTCATTTATTTAACTTAATAATAAATACATCATTCTGGTCTATTTCAAGAGAAGTAGTGACAGTTAGTTTCTAGTTCGCAAGATTTAGAAGATTTAGGTGCATATATTTCAGAAATTCAGGTTATTAATTGCTTTTTGATGTCATTTGCATGGAAATGTTTTTTTTGTGTTGGGACAGATTTCTGCATAATGATAATAATAAATTTTGAATGCTGTAATAAAAGTGACATTAAGGAAATCATTAGGGATAATTTGTTATAATTTCAACGCCTGTGCAATATAATAGATGATAATAGATCATCAACAAGAAAAATAGTCTAGATTTTTGGAAATAAATGTTTTTCCCGTAGATTATTGGCTATAGGATTTTGATCAGTGGTTCCAGGATTGATACCGGCCTCCGACAGCTTGATATCAAGCAGTAGTGACATCGGTTTTTACTTCCAAATATAGATAGCTTTATGTTTCCAAGCGAAATAGCACTTATATTTTATTGCTACTTCAAAAAAAAATCATCAATCAATCGAAATTGTAACTAGTGGGGTGTATGGCATCGTGCCTTAAGGCAAATTGCTGGAACTTCCCGTACCTTGACGAGATATTCAAGGAATATTAAATATTTGCAAACGGATTATTATAAATATTGTTACATTGTCTAATATTTATAAGAATTATATAAACTGAATAGCAAAGCTGAAATTATTTGTTTAAAGTATATTCAGAATTAAAAATAAAATCTGAATTATTTTCGATATACAAGAATTTTTTTTTTTTTTTAAAGTTGAAACAAAAACATTTTTTTTCAATATCAATTATATTGTTAAGACAAGCAGAAAGCTCTTTGAATAATTTAAATCGGACTCTTAGTCCTCTCATAAACTGCCATTTTTTACACATTTAGTATCCGT